TTTTTCAGTTGGCTTGATCTATGGACATTCGGTTGGACCCCTTAGACGAGGGATCAGCCCGTCGCAAGGCCTCTACCTGTACACAGGACAACACAACACAGAAAAACATCCATGGCTTGAGTGGGATTCGAACCCACGATCCCTGCGACCAAGCGTCACAAGACCCACGCCTCAGACCGCGCGGCCACTGCTGACCCCTAATTATTTTAACTAGTTCTAATAATAAAGTCCTGTTCTTAAATAATAATCCATGGACTTTGTTTTAATACACTAAATTATCCAGCTTTTTAATGTTTCTGTTTTGAAACTTACCTTCTTGATGTCATGATGCTTTTGTAGCGACTTCTTTGCTATTAAAATCTTCTGATGTTTCTAAGTTCATGAAATATTTCCAAGGTCAAGTGACACAGTTTTCCACAGCAAAATATTGCTTGAGTGACTCAAATGTGGCTAGTTCTTAGGTATAAAAACACTCCAACAGCTGATTTTACTGCGAATTTACATGTAACAGAGCCACACAGCTGAGCAGTTACCTATGATTCGAATTATATGTTAAAGAAAAGAAAGATATGGATAACGCTGACACAGGCGTGTAATTAAACACTGTCCCAAGGAGATGTGAGAGGAAGTGATGGTATAGCTTCACACATTAATTACTTTGGTACTACATGGAAGTGAGTGGTCAGCTTCAGGACCTGGTCACTTTACCACAGTACCCATCGGACAGAAGGTTGGGTGGGCACCAGATTCAGTCTGGAGGGGGCAGAAAACAGAAAATAATCTGCCTCTGCTAGGAATCAAACCCTGGTAATCCAACTAGTAGCTACTCTAGCTCTAAGAGATTACTGAAAGGAACACAAGCAAGAGATAAAAGATAGGAGGGAAGGAAGAGAAAATGAAATATTATGACAAGATTTAATACTGCGATACCACATTCACAAAGCCTGCCTGTAAACTTACCTCTTTTGCTGTGTGTGAAGTTCATGCAGTTTACATGTTGCGCTGTATGAGAGTGGCAGGGCTCCGACTGGTGGGATACGGGATTTGTCGTCGGTGGTCATCACAACTTCCTTGTCAGATGAAGTGGAGTTGATATACCTGGCAAAGAGCGGTGGAAATTAAGTTAAAGACATTTAAAGCTCGTGAAAACTGAGGATGAAGGTGTCATGGCAATGGCTTAAACATTATTCTGGAGTTCAAAAATAAATGAGTCGAGTTATGTCACAACTGTATCTCCGAATCTAAATCATCTTGGTTCATGGGAGAAAGACTCTGTGTGTCTTGGATGTCGTTTTCACTACTATCCAAATTACCCGGGGTCTCTGCTGGTATTAATTCATCGTTCATAAATGACATGAGTTGGAAATACTGCCATGAAGATGTGAAACATGCAGGTGCTTCCGCTTCAGATGTAGAAACTGGTTGCTTCTTCAACTCTTTTCGATATTGATCTTTCAAACGTTTCCATCGCTTTTTCAGCATTTCCTATGAAATTAAGAACACTTTTTTATCCCAGGTATCTTGCTACAGGAGTGGCATTCAGAGCTTTGGCTTTTAATTTTCGTATGGGGAAAAACAACTGTGGCAACGATAGTTTATGAAACATGTTCTGCGTTATGGTCAGAATTGGTTAGCATACACATGCCACAGCCATCTCAAGATGACCTAAAGGAAATTTCGAGGGATTATAACAGACTGTGGCAATTTCCAAACTGTATTGGTGCAATTGATGGGAAGCACTGTGAAATAATTTGTCCAGCCCATTCTGGATCGACATATTACACTTATAAAAATTATTTCTCAGTAATACTGCAGGGCGCTGCTGATGCGAATAAAATATTTATAGCAATAGAAGTAGGCGGAAGAGGGAAACAAAGTGATGGAGGGACTTTTCACTACTCAGTTTTGAATAAATTAATGGAAAGTGGAAGATTTAACATTCCACCACCGGACATGATTCCCGGAACTACATGTTCTTTGCCGTACGTTTTCATTGGAGATGAAGCATACCCCATGAAGACAAATTTGATGCGTCCATTTCCAGAAAGATCTTTGAATGACGAAAGAAGGTACTTTAATGAGCGTCTTTCTCGTGCCAGGAAGTGCAAATGTAATTAAATAACATCTTCTGTAGCAATGAATAATGGACATGTTTATACATATTTTTTGAGAAAACATAATAGCATAATGAAATAAAAATATAAAAACCTTCCATCCCAAATTTTACTGAAATTTCATTCCATGTTTTCTTCGCTGTCGCCTGGTTTTTGTATAACGGATGGCGAGAGAGCCAGATTTCAGGTTTTCCTTGAACTTCAGAAATTATTTCCTCAAAAGACATCTTCCAAACGCTCCAAACGCTACTTAAACACAAACTGGTTTGACCTGCATTCTGCACGCTCCCCTCCACGCTAGTACAGCACGCTGCCCGCTCCGCTCAAAACGCTCATTCCCAGGACACGCGAATGTAATCAAACGGATTTGTGATGCATGCTGCACGCCCCGCCCCGAAAAACGCTCCACGCCCCGCTGCACTCAGGCTGTACCCTTACACACGGTACGGGATGGACTGCAGCATGTGACCAGCCACAACATAGCGCGCGCTGCGTGGAAAGGAATGGCTACATGTCTCTAACACATTGTTTTAAAATATAATCTTGGATCTTCCTCACAAGTTTTATTTTGGTGCCTGCAGCCTCCACTTCTTTACTTGGCTACTGTTTTGAGGCTCTTTTTAAATCTGCTGTCCACAAAGTCCTTGGTTTCTTGCAGTTTCTTCACAATTTGAACCTCAGCCTCAAAAAGTGACTCCTTCAATAGTGTCTGCTGCAATGAAAAATTTTATGGTGGTAAAACAAGTTAGTAAATATGTTAACAGTATCAAACATATTGTACAAATGCAGCTGACTTTCTAAAGTGGCAACCACAAGAAGTTTTGGACGCTAAATTTATTAAACAAGTTTTTTGGAATGATTTTGTATTTTACCAGGGCCAAAACTGACAACAAATGGCATAAATTAATGGGTTCTGTTATAATACAATCCATTTCCTGATATTCTGAAGTAGATTTAGGTTCAGATCCTCACAACAACGCAAGGAAAGTTAAGTTTATAAATAGAAATCATTCTAAACTTGCTGTTAGATCAGTGTTTAATATCGTCAATACTGACACAATGACAACAGCCCACTCTGCACATCTTCACCCCATAATGAAGCATGGAATAATCTTTCAGGATAATTCATCCCTCAAGTTTTCAAACTAAAAACTTTACAAATTTCTCACTGCTCACATGCATGCTACTGAACATCTTGACTGAGTGGTTATCACTCCTGCTTCTTACTTTGAAGATCCCAGGTTCTTATCTCAGCCTGGAGACTGGTTATCCTGAACGAGGTTTATCACGGTTTACCTCAGTCTCTCCAGGCAAATTCCATGTAAAAAAAATTTCATACACACATTCAATTTTAGGAGTCTATAAAGGAAAGCAATTTTGAGAGACAGGAAGCCTGTACTTCTGCTTTGTACTCGAAATGTTTACCACGTACCTGAATTATCCCACAACAGGCAGAAACATCAGCAAAACTGGAAAAGATCAGGATATTTACCTTAATGAATGCTCCGTGGACATCTACTGCAGTGTTCTCCACATTCATTTTGTTTTGTCAGAACAATGAAAACCAATTGCAGTATTGTGAAGTTCACTTCTCTAACCCAAGAGGAAAATGTGATTTCCTCAAAATGAGTAACAATATAAGACTTGCCAAACTAATTATAAAGAACACTGCCAAAAAGAAAGAATAAAGCTGAAACAAACTAATTATAAAGAACACCGAAAGAAATACTGCCAAAAAGAAAGAATAAAGCTGAATAAAATCAAGTTTCTTGTACACATTCTTTGTAATCATGTCTTATGATATGAGTAATCAGGATATGATAGGATATGCTCGTATCACACAATGAACCAAGTCAGGTGGAGATGAATGCTTCTAATACTCAAAGTACTGGCTTCTTGATAGAAGTTTCTGGTTTGTTAATTCTTATTAATTTTATTTATGTAACTATATAGATATGATTGATGAAGACAGCCATCTTTACACTCACCACCATGATAACCTCAAATCTCTCATAATTTGACTGAAGCCTGTATGCAATACCGAGCAAATAAATAAATACACATACACACACTAATGTGCAGCACACTAAATGCTTCTACAGTCAAATTTTGAACATGCAAACACAGGTCTGAAAAATAAAGCCATTTGTCACTAGTCTGCGCAGTCCTTGTAAAGAGTTCATTAAAACATTGTTGACTAGCTGACTGTCAAGAACAAAATCTTATAAACCTCACTACTTCCCAATAACTTACCAACACTGAAAGCAACATTATTCCAGTTTATAACTAATGCAGAGATATTCTAAATGGAATACTGAATTAACAATTTCTATGAAAATATCTGCATGTAGCAAATTGCCTACGGAAAAGAGCTTAAACTGTCAATACTGGTATAGACCAACTTCAACCTGTAATCCTCACTTTATGATAACATCTAGAACAGTGTTTCTCAACCTATGGTATGCATATCACTGATGAACGTAAGCCAATGTTGAGTGGTATGCAAACTGATGAACGTAAGCCAATGTTGAATGGTACGCAAACTAAGTATGAAAATCAAAAGATAATATTAACATAAATAAGTTTTCCCTGAACGTATTTGGTTAGTGGTGCATTTAATGTGGCAAATTAAAATTTGTGGTACACCAACAAAACAGGGGAGAACCCCTGATCTAGAAGATACTCGGGTCATTTTATGGATTACTGATTCCTTGTAGATAATTCATGTTGACCAGAAGTAGAATTTCAGCATATCTCTTAATCATGTGTAAAGGGTAAAAAAGATATGTATTTTAGTGATTGGGGAAATTTGTTGCCAGGTGACCACGCAAAATCAACAAAAGAAATTCAATATGTTACAAAGCTTACCTCTGGTGAATGAACAGCCAGATCAACGATCAGGGGGGCAGTAAGAGAAATACATTGTTTTTCCATCATTCTTCATGATTGATCAACCAAACTTCAAACAATCAGTGATCTAGAATAAAATCAATGTTTATAATGCAAACAGCATCTTCTTTACTTGAAAAAGAAGATGTGAAGATTTTCGTCAATGTTCACACATTCATATGTCCTCAACTGGAGCTATTTTAGGCATATATGACATTTCATGGCACATGATGGGACAGAGACAACTTTTTTTTCCCCCATAATCCTATTACACTGTCACCTTCATTGGAAAGAGCTCTGAGATCAGCCCTGCAGCATAATTTCATGAATGCAATCACTCAAACCCTACCCCATAATTTTTGACTAATTCTGTTGCCAATTACCCTATCTCAAATTGTTTAAGCAACTCCAGCTTTTGTTTTAGTGTCAGTACAATTTTCACAAAACTTTCGCGCCACCTTATTTAGGTTCCACAAGCATTTAAAACTTTCAGCCACCTTATTTAGGTTCCACAAGCATTGACTACCCTTTTCACCCAAGTAACGCATAAGAAAACGTAACGTAATTGGCTATAAGTCGGTTTGAAAAAAATCACGAGCATCTTTACCATCTCTCTTCTCCACCAAAACCACTGGAATAAACATCAGCCACCCCATCACCTAAACTGACCGTAAAATAAAATGACTGAATTCGGTAGATTCCCCCACCAAACCAAGCAAACAATTAAGCACGTCTTCGTTC